TCCCCACCGTGGTCCCAGAAGGGGTGGTTGGGTCACCACGGCTCCCAGCGCTGGTCCTTGCCAGAATACAGTGATCCCAGCTCACGGCACCCATCTCTCCTCTCCCCAGGCCAGGACTCCAAGCCGCAACCTGCTGGCCTGGGAGCCGGCACCATCATGAGCATCCTCCTGGCTCTGGTTCTCTTCGGCATCCTCCTGCTCATCTGTGGACCCCCTGCCTACAAAAGACTGATGAAGAAAAGTAAGTGATGAGCTCTAAGCTGAAACTGCTGGGCCCCCAGCACCGCCGCTCGCATCCGCCGTGAAACCTGCAGAGATGCCGATGGTTTCCCGGGCCAGCCTCTTGCAGCAGATCTGTGGAGCTAGGGCTAGATGCTTCCCAGGGGAACATTCCTGCCCCAGGGTTCAGTGGCACAAATCCCTTTTTCCCATTGTCTCCCAGTGCAGCACTGACATAGAAAGCCTCTGGGATCAGGCAGCGCGGTGCATTTTGCACGCCGCGGCAGGATTAAGTGTGGTGCGGACACAAAAGAGCAGGTGGAGCGTGTTCCACAAGCCATGCCGAGCATCCAAAGGGTCTCACCACGTGGCAGAGGGATTACCAGGCACAGCAGATTATTTGGGATGGCATATGGAGCTCGTGGGCAGCAGCCGTGGGGTGGAAAGCAGCCAAAGGAGATGCAGCCCATTTCTGGCAGAGGAATCAGGCAGCTCCCTGGGGAGATCTGACAGGCCCTGTCTCACCAGTCCCCCCTCCTTTCCCTTCCAGTCTCCAAGAAGAAGCAGCGCCAATGGATCGGCCCCACAGGATTCAACCAAAATGGTGAGGAGCACACACGGGTGCTCCATGGGGAAGGGCAGGTTTGCGGTCGTGGTCCCTGCCCGCACCTCTCTGAACTCCCTGTGCGGAGCAATCTCCGAAAGCTCCCGGCCGCGGGACCTGGGTTTTGGACTCGCGCAGAGGTCGCTCTGGCAAAGCTGCCCCCGGACCACAAGCCAGGCTGCGGGGCAGTGGTGTGAGCGGCCTCTGCGCGGATCTGCCGCCCCAGCTTCCTGCCCCGCCGCCGCTCTGACTCACCGGTGCCTGGTGACTCAGCGCGAGGGCTGAGCCCTGCGCACACCCCGTCCCGCTCTTACTCAGCCCCTCCGCACCACCGGTTCGCGTGGCGGCCTCCTGCCTTGGGTGGAAGCAGAGGACCCGGCCACTTGGTGCCTTGCAGAAAACAGCATGGGAGAACTTTCAACCTTCTGTTGAAGCAGTTGGCACCAAGAGGCACCTCCGCGGTCCTTGATGCTCTCTCCTTCCCGCCATCTATTTCAGTTTCATTCCACCGCAACAGCACCGTCAACCTGAGGCCGCGGGCTGAGGGGCCGAGGGCTCAAGGAGAGGACAACGACTACGCACAGCCACCCAAGAAGAACCCCTACCTGTCAGCTTACCCAGGTAAGGCACAGCAAGGAGGACACGAGGGAACGGCTCCTCCGCGTGCCCTTCCAGCACACATCAGCGGGGAATAACCAGGCCGGTGGCGTTTGAGGGAAAGCCCCACGGCAGTGAGATGCAGCCGGGGCTGTTGCCGATGCTGCCCTGGGGCTGGGCCTCCCAGCCCTCCTGCCTCACCTTGCGGATCCAGGGACATGCGGAGCACACCACGGTTTATTCCCTTCACAGCTCTGGAAGGTGCATCTCGATCTTCGAACCCTCCGGACAATTCCTCCGATAGCGACTATGACCTGCACTCTGCCCGGAGAGTGTGACTTCCCCGCAAGAGGTGAGACCCTCTTGTGCGTCTGTCCTGTTATCTCCTTGTCCCAAGCTATCTCACAAGACGTTCACACACAAGGGCTAAATTGAGTTCCTGCTCAATTAGCCTGTCTGTGGCTTCTTAAGATTCGGCTAACGTTAGTCTTGTTTTCTACATCAATCATCTTCTTAACCTACAGAGGTGGGATTCAACGTAAGGGGGTGGGGAGAAGGAAAAAAAGAAAGAACAAAACTGACAAAAGAGAAGACAAAACCTGAGAATTGTGCATGGATCACCTCAGAAGAAAGCCCTTCTGCGTGTCCCCTCGAGGTGTAATGGCTTTCATCCCATTTGCAGGGAGGGGAAGCGGGAGCACCTCTGCCAGCCGGAGACCTCATCAGGCTGCTTCCAGGAATGGGGTGTTCTCAGAGCCCCCGCTCAAGTCAGGGCCTCAAACTGCTGGATGTCGCCCCCGAGCGCTTCGTTCCGAGCTGCCCGGCCTCGAGACTCCACCAGGACCTGCCTGTGACGAGCGCTGACCCCCAATCTCTCATCTCTGACCTAGCCTAGCTTGGCTTTGCACTGCTGTCACCCTGGTACCTGAGCACCTTTCCCAGAAAGCTTTCCCTCACCCTCTCCTTCCTAGACCTCCCGCCCGGGAGGGCACAAGCTTTTTGTTGTTGGCTTTTGGTTTTTTAAACTATTCACGAGAATCTGAAAGGTACACGGGTAGCCCGGGGCCCCAGCGGGCACAGCAGCCTGGAAGGGGGCTGCCTGCTTCCCCTCTCCGAACTAGGATTACCGCCCTCCTCACCCCAGCAGGGCCTGGCCCGAAAGCAAAACCTGCTGCTGTCCACAAAGCTCTCCGCACCGCGGGAATGAACTTCACGGAAAGGACGGCCACGTCCTTATCTTTCGGGTAATTAGCAGGCTGTGAAGACGCGGGCTTGGCCATGCTGGCTGCCTGGCAAAGCCTGGATGGTTGGAGGAGCGGGTAGCTTGGGATACCCGCCTGCGCGCACGCACACGACTGCATACGGGAGGGTGTGCGCTTTGTAAAGCAGAGACGCATGAAGAGCAGCAGAAGGAAAAAATACTGAAAATAAACCTGAGATATTTAATTAGCAGTAACTGTTATAATAAAATTGGTTTTCTAGTAATGAGATCTTGCTCTTTTCCTTTCAACACTGCAAAGGCCATTTAAGAGCACCAACTTCCCAGCTAGCGAGGGAAAATGGAGAACAGAAATGACGGCACATAGGATGCATGAGAAAATGCCAGAGTTATTTGCAAGAAGGGAAGAGATCAGTTAACGGAGAAAAGCACTGACCAAACAGACCCCTTTGGAAAGATGAAAACAAGCGAGCAAGAAAGATGGTTCAGCAAGAAGAGGGTGAGGGATTTTATTGACAACACCAAGAGGAAGTTGGCGTAAGGACACTGAAAGGACATTTTTAAAAAGTCAATAAAAAATATCAAGTGGATGCCACGTCACTTCCCCAGTCACTGCTATGACCCTGCACACAATTTGTCAAGTTTTATTATTGTAATTAACCACAGATATGGCATTTCCATCAAATCCCAATGGCATTCATCTTACTCTAGTCCATTAGTAATCTTTCCTTATAAATAACTTAGGGGAATACAAGCAGAATTCAGAGGATAAAGTGCTGAGCAAAGCTAATCTTATTTCCATTAAAAACCTGTCACTCACTCTGGTATCTAGTGTTTTCTGAGGAGTAAAGGGAGATGTGAGGAACACTGGGGCCCTGAACATCCAGAATAACCCCCTCCTTTTCCCCTAGGGCATCAGGGGAGGGAGGCAGAGCCTGCGGAAGCCTCACTTTTCACAGAACTCTACGAGGGGTCGCCTGTGAAGAGCTGGATGGCACCCAAGACACTTTTGCCCCTTTTCCCACGAGCCGAGCTCAACAGGTGCCTCCGAATCCCAAAGTAACACCAGTTCCCCCAGCATCAACCCACAGACACGCCAGAACCGGGTGCGGAGCTCCAGGGAGGCACCAGAGCCCTCAGTGGGATAGTACAGGACGAGGAAGGCAAGGAAGGGCTCCTGTGCTGGACAAGGCCGAGCGGTGAAGAGGCTCCCCTGGCAAGCTGGGAACACCTGAACTCAGTGGGGTTGGGACCCACCTCTGCTTTGGACTAGGCTGGTACAGAGGGAGGCAGCGATGAGGAAAGCCTGACCTTGCAGGCAGCTGGAAACGGCTCGAGCTGGTTTGGAAGTTATTTTGCACCAGCATAAAGAAGCCAGACACATCCCAAGGCCTGGCCAACAGGCTAGCTAGCTGCTTCTCCCTGCCAAATTACGAACCGTTTGCCAGTCTGGCTGGCTCTGTTCCTCACTTCCAAGAAGGCCCTAGGGAAGCGATGAGTATTTAGCATTAGATATACTGTCAGAAGATTCCCACTGGGTCTTTTGAGCACCTGTGAAAAGAAGCTTAGAATTATTATACTGTGTATGTTAGAGAGGAAACTACAGGGGTGCGGAGAAGAGCCCCCGCTCGCACAGGTGTACACGCAGCAGGGCCGGGCTCTCAGCGGATGTGATCAGTGCACGCCATTCCCATGTGTCCCAGCTGAAAATCCAGCCGCCCGCTTGCGTTTTGTCTCAGGGCCTGGACTACCTGATTTGCAAGTGGCCGACAAGCAACTGCCACAACCAACCAGAAAAGGAACAGCCTGGGAGGCAGCATGGGCCTCGCGGCCGCTGGGTGCCTCTTCTGCGCACCCCACGTCGGAGCCGTGCCGCTTCTCCCAGGTAATGCGAACTCGTGGATGGGCCTAAGAGCAAGGCTCTCCACTCTTCCATCTTCCTCAGTCCGGGAGCAGTAGGAGCCCCAAGAGTCCCTGTTTAGTAGCCGGGCCAAGCAGGGCGCTGGGGGTTTGGAGGTGGCGGGTACCCAAAGGGAGGGGA